AATAAGATGCAGAATTTCGAGTGCACACACAGGCACCCTCCTAAAAATATATCGCTGAGGAGTGCAGTTAAATGCAGACACTACTGTTTCTGTAATAGATAGTGCTTTCCTTACTTGATTGGCTGGCACGAGCTGATCGTGGTCAAGTGACACCTTGTTGTTTTGAGACTGCTTTTTAAAAGAGAAAATTACTGAAGAATGAACACAGAGGCTGAGCTTTTCAAACGAACCTAGTGAAGTCTGGCGTTCTGGTTTTCCCCTTTGAAAATCCCAGAAGCTGAGACTGAAGATTGCATTATTCTAATCACTTTCTAAGTTTATATCAGATCATCGCTTTCTGTGTCAAATAGGTTACAAATACCTTACCCAGCATTTTCCATTTTTTAAAGATTTGGTATCAAGCAATCACATCTCTTTTACATCTACTCAGCCATATACTTTTTTCTTTCCCAGTTTTATATTTGGAACCACAGCAACAGTTTATATTTTCAGAAATATGTTTTCACAGACATCAAATGACAATGATTTTCATGGTGAAGGACAAGCACTATTTTAGTACAATTTCTAGGCAGATGTGGGACAAAGTCTGGTCTCAGGTCTCACAACTTCAATTTTTTCTGCTTAGCTAAAGTCAGGCATATCCAGCCAGTAACGAAGCCAGATGTCTAATGAACAAGGCCACCCAAAAAAGCTTTAGGAGTCTGGCCGTATTTTTTTAATCCTACCTGTCACATTTTCAGTGTGTTTTCATTATTTTTCTACTTAAATGAAATCTTGGAGGATCATACTGTGAACAGCTATTCATTTATCAGCTAGGTTTAATATTTGCATGTATTTTTCTGGCTGGCTACCTTCCTCTAGGGAAAGTAGCAGCTGAGGGCTGGAAGCCACAGCACAAGCAAGAACAGCCACCTGTGCAGGACTGTAAAGCTGTCAGTCTGTCCCCCCTTCTCGGAGGACCCGCCAGACAGGAGGGTACGCAGGCAGAAGTCACTGGCCTCTGTTTCCTCTCAGCTTCGCTAGGGCCGGATCTCAGGCTGATCGTCAGGGAGAGTAAAAGCAAATAGTCACCTCCTGGTAGAGGCGATGTTACTGCAGGATGAGCGAATATGTTTCTCACACACCCATAGGAGGGACTTTAAATATCACTGTGATCACTGGACCCTCCCCTCCAACCTAAGCCGATGCTTAGAATAAATCAGCCTCTGACTGACAGCACCAAAGATTCAGGTTTTATCCCTATTACTAGCCCGCAACCGTGAACTGAAGAGCCCATGGTGTGACCTGTTTGAAGAGATATTTTGCATTTAAAAAAAAAAAAAGGATGAAGGGAAAAAGAAATGCAGAGACACAGCCAGCTTTACCAGGGAAAGCAGCTCTCTCTGCTACCACGAGCCGGCTGCCTCTTTTGAGGTTCAGCCATGACAGTCAGCCGAAAGCTAAATGAGAAATACATCCGCTAAACGCGGTGGGTCCCCTTGTGGTAGATGGTTTAGATGGAGCTGAGCTCGCTTTGTATCAGCTGCCCAGCACGCTGCTCTCCACCCGGTGGGGAGAGCGCAGGGCTGCCCACCCAAATACTTACCCAGCCACTCCGGCGCACGGTGCAGCCCACGCCGCCACGGTGGCTACGGGCTTTGCCGCGCCGAGCAAGGCAGTTTTGCTATCTCTGGCAGAGCTATATCTGGCCAGCAGTCGTGGGCTCTCTCCGCCTGCCTCCACCACGGCAGTGATCACACGCGGCTGTGGGATGACACTGCCGCCAACCCTAACAAGCGGAGCATGAGGCTGCCGCCAGGACGGAGCCCTTTTTTTAAAAAACAAGGGCAAAATCGTGCTGATGAGCAAATTGTCCTAACAGGCACTGAGCAAGGCTCCGTCAGATGCTCCTTTCCTGAAACATACACAGATGTCTCTTAGAGGCGGGCTGATATTCAAGCACTTTCTAATACCATGTTGGGAAAAAAAAAAAAAGAAAAAAAAGGATAGTTTGATAAACAACTGTCCCCACTTCATCCTGCTCCCCAGCTCCCAGCAGAGCTGAGAGTGCTGCTATTTGAGATGGGCTGAAACCGCTGGCTTTTGTTCAGAATCTATAGCGCGACGGGCCCCTTCCTGGGGCAGGGAAGGTGGTAAGGCTGGAGCCGGGCTTGAATTTCAGACAGAGCTGGGCTGCCCCAACAGTCAAGTCAAGAACATTTAGAGGAATTTGGCCAGGCCCTTTTTGCCTCTGTAATTGATGCCTCTAGCTGTTAGGTCTTTTTTTTGTTGTTGTTTGGCCAGAAATCCCCCAGAAATGCCTGTTCTTATGAGATTTGTGGCCAGATTGCCAGAGGCTCCAGTCATTTCGGCGGTGATGGATGTACCAAAAGCCAGATATTAAACTCTTCCTGATTGTGCATTGGAAACTGCCCTGAAGTTCATTCCAAAGCAGATTTACATAGTGTAATGTCAAAATCATGTTCAACGCAAGCCTCTTGGAGCCAGCCCAACCTTTAACCTGAAGCTATAGCTTGTCTGCCCTCAGAAAAAAAAAGGAGCAAACAAAACCGTAGCAGATATTAATGTATAAATAAACCAATACAGTTATCAATAAGGCAGAGGAGTGAAATGAGAAATTCTTCTTGCTGCAGCCTCCACAACCTGGTGCTTCTGCAAGGGTGCCTTGTCCTTCTTAACAGCAAACACAGCCACAAGTGGCCGAGCTGCCAAGAGCTGGTAGGTCCCATGTTTATATCCATGTACCTCAACCCACACTCCTTTCGGCCTCTTCCTTTTTTATGCTGATAATGCACTGACTGTGAGACATAGAAGATCTTTTGGGCTATCTATCTAACCTATCCCTCCTGGGAAAAGGACAGGGCTCCACATTTTGATATCCACTTCAGTCTCTCCGTTGCATTACAAAAACACCGATTACCACAGCAGCAAAGAGCTGAGTAAAAGTGTTTTGCCTTAGCTCCAGCTTGAATTCAAACCTTTCATTCCTTTGAAAGAGAACATGGTGCACAGTCCGAAGCTTAGCCTTAGCCTCCTTGCTGCCACCAGTGTCTCCAGGAGTGTGTAAAAGACAGCCCTACTCTGGGCTGCAGCTTCATGGCTGAGTGAATGGAAGGGCAAGCTGCCAGGGGACACGGCACCCACTGCCTGTGCTTTGCACTGCATTCACTACCACCATGTGTCCACATGCTGAGCTGGCTCTGGGAGCTGGCTGAAAATGAACCTTTTTTTTTTTTTTTTCATTGCTCAGGTTAATTTTCAGCCAGCTCTGTCCTCTAATCCGGCTCGCCATCTGTAGTGGAGATCTATAAATAGGAAGAAGAGGTGGAACAAAAAGAAACGGTGGGAAGGTGCAGAGGAGACAAGCCAGCGTTTTTCATCTGCAGGCCCCAGCTGCCTGCTAGCATAGCTACCCAACATTATACCTGCTTTCCAGTTGAAGAAACAGAGGTTGGGTTTCATGACGGCTTTAAGAGGAGGCACGTGCAGGCTGCCTCTGCACACATTAGGTAGACCTAAAGAGGCAATGCCATTCCCCAGCATTATTTTGTGAATGGAGCTCTCTCTCTCAGCAAGGAAGCTTTTCATCTTGCCCTCCAGTTTCCTTACTTCCAGTTGCACTGATTCATCTAATCCCGTGCAATCCCTGTCCTTGCCTGGTGGGCTTCAGGCATTTGCAGCCCACGGGGATCATGGGGACCCCACCTGGCAGCTGCTGGCCCTCTGTCATCGAGGTCTGAGGATTGTCATGGATGGTTTGTAAAACAGAGGGACCAACTGGGGGCCAAGCACTGCCAGCACAGTGGGTTTGCAAGGAGTGGGGGACCTGGGACCGGGAGGAGCAAAGGTGAACAGTAGTTCTTCCTCCCACCAGCCCCCCTTTGGCTCCTGGAGATGCTACAGATGCTACAGGTGAAGGTCAGGGCTAAGCTGAGGAGGAACAACTTCGCAGTGGGAGAGCCCAGGGGGAAGGCTGTAGGATGGGGTTTTGGCTGGTTACTTTGCACCGGGAGAAGCCCATGCCGGCACCTTTAGGTTCCTCCCACGCTGCTCTCCAGGCGGGGCTGGCCTTCAGGAGGGTCCCAGGAGGGCGTCAGGCTGCGGGAGCACCCCAGACCGAGCCCTGTCCCGGGCAGCGCCCCAGGTAGCCCCGGCCCCCCCCGCCCCCAG